CCTCCCTCCCTCCCTCCCTCCCTCTCTAAAAATCAATAGAAAAAACATCCTCGGGTGAAGATTCACACACACACAGTGAGGAGATTAGTGAGGGCAGGAGTGGGGCTGGGAGGACGGGCGGAGAACAGATTTTTAGGGCCGTGAAACGACTCTGTGTGACCCTGTTTGAGGGCTCATGTGAGATGCACTTGTCCGAACCCACAGAACAGTGCAACCCAGAGAGCGAGCTCGGATGTAAACTGTTAACATTAGTTAATAAAATAACAATAGGGTTCATCAATTAAAACTAATACACCCACTAAGTTAATACGCTTAATAATAGGGGGAATGTGCATGTGTGTGAGGGTAACAGGAACTCTCTGTGCTTCCTGCTAAATTTTCCTGTAATTTTTAAACTTAAAAATAAAACCTATTTATCTAACAAAGGAGATTGTTGCCCGGCCGGGCGTGGCTCAGCGGTTGAGCGTCGACCTGGGATCCAGGCGATCAGGGTTCGATTCCCGGTCAGGGCACATGCCCGGGTTGCGGGCTCAATCAATGACTCTCTCCTCATTGATGTTTCTGTCTCTCTCTCTCCTTCTCCCTTCCCCTCTCTGAAATCAATAAAGATATATTTAAAATAAAATAAAATAAAATAATAAAATAGGAGATTGTGTCACATGTCAGATGTCTGGGGGAGACATGGGGGGAGACTGAGTCGNGGAGATTGTGTCACACGTCAGATGTCTGGGGGAGACATGGGGGGAGACTGAGTCGGGGGGACAGGATCGCACGTCTGAAGACACCATCCCAGAGAGGGGCTCAGCACAGGAGAGGCGGCTTGTCATCGGCCCGGAAAGCGCTTCTGAAAGACGCCTGTCATCACCGTCATTTGCTCCTAGTTTCTGAACAATTTTACCCCACTCTCATCAAAGCTCAGAGAACCGCACAAAGACTAAAGAGTAAGCGGTGAGTTTAATATTATACGTCGATGTTGGTTATCAGTCACACTGAGCAATAATGGTTCCTGTTTGCAAAGTGGTGTGAAAGCAGCAACCTGCCAGCTTGCTGGTCAATGCTCTAAAATGAACCGAGCCCTGGGCCTCTCTGCTGCTCCCTCGAGCCCCTCGCTGCCCGTCGCGGGCTCGAGCCGGGTCTCTGGCTCTCGGATGTTTCTGTTTCTTTGTCTCTGAAAGAGACGTAACTCGCTTTACACACGGAGGGAAAAGGTGCGGCAAAGGGCGTGATAGAGCACAGGGCCCTGGGCTGGGCCTGCTCTTAGATTTAACTTGTAAGCGAAGTGCAGCCGTCTACAGAAAACCGGAGCTGAAGCGTCCCACTCAAAAGCAATCTAACAGGGCTGGCGTGCCCGCCGTGAGGGTGGCGTTGGGGTCCGGGGTGCCCGACTTTGAAGTCACAGCGTCCCCTCCCGTGACAGGAGGCGATGCCTCCCCCAGGCCTCCTCGGGGCGTAATCGACACGTAAGCTTCCGTAGATTTAAAGTGTGGAACGCGATGATTTGATGAAGGGACACAGGAACCTTCAAGGGCCACCCTAACTGGACAACAAAGAGATTTCAAATATTTTAATAAGTGTGAGGGCCGCTCCCTGAGTCAGGGAGCAAAGAATTAACGAGTTATGTAGGTGTAATAATAGTAAGAAAAACAACACACAAAATGGGGACGCACGTGATTTATCGCCGGCTGCGCTCAGGTATATATAACCCTCCCTCCCCGCCTGCCGACACTCGCACCCAGGATCTCGTCTTGAACGGCAAACACTCGCCCTGACACCATGAGCTACTACGGCGGCTACTACGGGGGCCTGGGCTGGGGCTGGGGCGGCCTCGGGGGCCTGGGCGGGGGCTCCGGCTGGGGGTGCGGCGGCTTCCCCAGGCTGGGCTGTGGCTACGGCTACAGGAGCTACGCCTGCTGGCGCCCCTGCTGCTCCGGGGGGTACGGGTTCTCCGGCTTCTACTGAAACCCTGCCAGCAGCTCAGCGTCTGAGCCTCCGAGGGGCCTGCAGGTTCCCCCTCAGTGACCGGACGGCAGTCGCCCTGCTGGGTGATTTGCACGAGAGGATTCAGCTTCTCGGAATCACGGACACTTTTCCAACTATGCCTGTGTCTCCAGCATAACCCTAGACCCCTCCGCTTTTGCGTTTATAGCTGATTGGATCATCTGCTCACCTTCCAATAAAACATTGACTTTGAAAAACAAAGTATTGTTTTGGTTTTGTTCATGAAACTCAGTGATGTGGAAACGATTCTGGGTACATTCTACTCCGTTGTCAAAGAAAAAAGCTATCTTCTTGGCTAATGACTTTTTTTTTTTTTTTTTTACATACCTCACAAGCATACATATAGGTAGACAATAAAGATTAAAAATGAAAAAAAAAAAAGATTAAAAATGAAATGAAAAACGTTTTAAAATATTAGTGATTTTCTATTTATCAATATCTTGCTTCTGCTCAGAGAATACTCAAATTTAAGTCAATAAGAAAAAACTATGACCAGTAACATAGCTATATGATGTCGTATCAAATGTGTGTTTTATTTAACTCAACGGACATTTCTGAGCGTGGTCCCGGGGCACAGTGAATCCTTTCATTTATCAGATGGCAGTGGACCGAAGCCTGTTGGGCTGGTGACGGAAGTGAAGCCCGTGGGAGAATTTATTCTGTACAGTCTCACCCAGCGCACAGGCTCCTCTGCAGGGTCCCACTCGGCACCGTCCCCAGGCAGCGACTCCAGGCGCCAGCGATGAACTGGGGTCAATTTCCTTCATACGCGGTCGTAACTCTCAACACTTCCCCCAAGCTTTCTGTTCGCTGTCTTATATTCTTCCTGTACTTTCATGATCGACACGGCTTCCTGTTCGCACCATCGTCACACTGAAGAACCTGTTTCAGTCCCGCCAGGGAAAGAAACAAGAAGACAACATCGCGAACTAATTTATGGTTTAGCTGCAGCCGATGACACACAGCTGCACCCAGAAAGTTCTCTTATAAATGCGAGTTTCAGGGGAATCTGAATTTCCCCTGATAAAATGGGCAGGAACAGATACTTTATTCATAATTTTTTTTTAATGTAAGGAAATACCTGTGTTTTTCTTAAAATTAAGTGATACATTCGGGTCATAATATAAAATGAAGATCTTTGTTTAAATTGGTCAAACTCGGTCAAACACGTCGGACGTAGGCAAACAGACCTGTCGTCACACACACGCAGAGCCGGGGGCCTCGGGCGGCCCCGACGCCCTCCTGACGCTGCAGGAAAACCTCAGAGAATCGGGGCTTTTTCTGTAGGGTTATGTCGGCTTCAGCGACAGAAGGAGGCCCAGAGCCGAGGGCCTGTGGCTCCAGGTGCATTTTCTGTTCTCCTGTGGCCACGTGGAGTCTCTGGAAAGCTCTGATTCACGAAAGACCTGAGGGTTTTCTTTCTTAGAGTCACCTTTGCCCCAACATCTATTGCTCTGATAAAGAGAATTGAAGGTCTTAATTGCAGGTCAGCTTTATCTCGTTTCACTGGTATCTGTTCTTCATCCTCTCTCTCTATCCGTAGTTATACGTGTTAAGGTCAAAGTCTTCACTTGAAGGTTTAACCGAGCGATAAATGTGCTCAGACACCATCAGTTTTCCCCTGACCTTCCCGTGGTGCCGCCTGGGGCTTGCAGGTGCCCGGCGGGCAGGGCAGGCGCGGCCGGGTGCTGGCACCCCGGCCTCCACAGGCCGCAAGCCTCCCACCGCCGACGGAGACGCCCCCAGGGCGCGAAGGACCGCGGCCATCCCGTCACGAGGAGGAGAGGCGTGGCCTGTCACTCCCGCAGAGTGCACTAGCGCATTTTATTGCAGCTCGTTTTATGATTTAATTGGTTTGTCTGAGCAGAGGGAAAGCTTCATAAATTTATAGCAGAAGGGTCCTTATTCCACAAAAAGCTACCATTGGGCCAAGAGAAAAACACATTTTATTTCAAACACCCAGCGAGGGCCTGAAAATCCTAATCGGCTTACGGTCGTCTTGTGGAAAATCNTAGCGAGGGCCTGAAAATCCTAATCGGCTTACAGTCGTTTTGTGGAAAATCCCCAGACACAGAATGACCAAGAAAGAACTGTCCGCATCTTCGAATTCACCGAGTTAGGAGTAAAAAGAAATGTGTGTTTCTTCGTTTTCAAAAATAATTAGTATCCAAAAGTATTACCATTGTTCTAATTTTTTGATGCCGAAAAAATGAGAATGTCGTTCATGTATTTCACAACTTTTTGTTCTTAATCTTACATATGCACAGATGTTGTATGTGTCGGTAGGTGGGTATTTGGGGGTTTATGTGAAGTGTGTGTGTGTCTCCCTGTGATACGTCGCTCACTATTTTTTTCTTTGAAAATATATAAATAAATAGGATATATTTCACTATTGGGCTTTAAAACTTTTTTTTTTTAAGCTATTGGTTTTTATTTCATGTGGACATAGCTATTTGCATCAGAAACAATAATATAAATGATCACAGTCGAGCAATCCAGCAAATTCGCTCAACCATTCATGAGATTCCTAAATTTGTTAGATTTATTTGTGATTGTTTAGCTTCACGATGACTCACTGAGAGTGAAAAATCTTGCCTTTTTTTTCTTTCAGAATGAAAAGCGAAGATGGAACACATTTTAATAAAGGAGAAGAGATTTAACAGTCAAGGCCGACAGCAGGTTCAACGTTCCTCTAAACCCCGAACGCCCCAAGTCCTTCTCGGGAACTTCCCGCGAGGCAGGGCAGGCGGCTCCCATTTCTTCGTTCACTTGACAAATATGCGTTGTTTGGAGGAACAGTGGGCAAATTCAGATGGAAGATGTATTTTAAAACGTTACTTATAAACCTCAAAACAAAACAGGACAAAATAAGTAAACCAGCACCACCCACAAAACAAAACCCTCAGGTGCGCGTCCACGTCATGTAATCGTCACGGGAAAGCCCAAGCCCAAGGAAAGGGCACGTCCCCGTCGGGCTCCGACTCGGGCTCCCGTCCTGCGGTCCCGGGCGAGCCGAGGACGGTCCCCAAGGCGGCCCCCTGGCCTTCGGGCCCTTGTTTCGGCCTCAGTCGCCTCCCCACTGCCCACTGACTTTGGGAGAGTGACATTTGGTGAGACACTATTGTTAAAAATATTTATTTATTTATTTTTTAATATATCTTTATTGATTTCAGAGAGAGGAAAGGAGAGGGAGAGAGAGAGATAGAAACATCAGTGATGAGAGCCATTGATCAGCTGCAGCCCGAAACCCGGGCATGTGCCCTGACGGGGAATCGAACCCCGATCGCCTGGATCCTAGGTCGACGCTCAACCGCTGAGCCACGCCCGG